CACTCGAATTGCAGTATTTGTTTTTCTCTCTCTCTATTTTATTATGTTGTCAGTCAGCACATGACAGACGATCATCTATGAATGCCCTGCTCTCGAAACTCTTCACTTTTATAAAATACTCTGCTAAACTCATAAATAATCATTTCCAAATCTACACATTGCTAGCGATTTATATAAATCTAGTCCATTAATTTATTATTATCATAATAAATTAATTCAGAATACCAATTTAGTACTTAAATATAAGCTAAAATAAAATATGGTTTATTGTTTGGTGGCCTATTTTAATAATTAATTATAAACATTAAGTAAAGATATTATTAACTATAAATTTAAAACATTTTAATTTTGATTAGAAATTTAATAGGCTACATTTTCAAAATTTCACTTTAAAGTAGAAAAGTACTGATTCCTTCAGTATACATGATCAGAATCTAGAGCCGAGTCGATATAACCGTGTCTATCTATATAAAAAGGCGATCTCAGAGACTATAAGAGTTGGGGACTTTATATTTGACTTTAAAGTTCTCCTATAACACAGCAGGCTAAGTGTTCATTTTATCGATAACAGTACCAATTACGCGAATATCGATATAAATCGATATCCGATTACAATAAAAGACACAATTGTAAATATTTGGCCTTTCAATTAATATAGTCAGATATATTATGGATGAACTCTAAGAATTGCATTAGGATCGGCTAAGAAACAGAGATTTTTATATTAAACACACAAATCCCTTAAATCTGAACCTGTATTTAAAAGGATTAAAGTATTTCTTTCTTTAAGGGTATCTTCTAGTCCAGCTCTCCCATCTAGCTAATGGTAGTTTCAATTGATTTTGAAAATTTTGTGAATTTTGATTTATTATTTCAGGGGAAAACCACCCCAACTTCTACTCTAAACCAGCTTTGTTATTTGACAAGCAATTAATACCCAATACCATTGGCAATAAAATTTATATTGTCAATTTATCATTCAGATTTAGATTCCTGCACGTGTCACATTTTTTATCTCAAATATTGCATTGTTTTCTATTCTTTATTTTATCATTTATATATTTTTTTATATTTTGGTTCATTGTCAGCAGGAATGCAACCATTAATTTGCTTTATTAAGCTACACAGATTTGGCAAGGGGAGTGGCTAAGGGGCAGGGGGGAGGGGCGAGTGTGGCATGCCCGCATTTTGCCCGCAGCTCGGCGAAAAAAAAATATATATGTATTCTAAAGGAACCTTTACGTTTACCGTAAAATTTCAATGTCACCAATTGCCAGGACCAATTTTTCTTCGTCTCTGTGTGTGTGTGTGTATTTTCTGCTCGTTACTATTACGAGATAAATTGTTGTCGATAAATTATCGACAGTCGCTCTTTCTTTGCCTCCCTTCCTTCCTACCAGCCCCCCTCCACTACACTCTATCATGCCGGATGTGTGTCCCTTTTTTACACAATTTTGTTTTATGTGGGTTTTTTCTTGTGTGTGTGAGTGCGAGTGTGTTGCATAGTCGAGTTTACCCAATTTATTGCAGTTTGTTTTTCAATTTTTTAAATTGCTGGGATTTTGTGGGCTGAGTTATTGCATTGTTGCCAACATCAAATCGAAAGCAATAATTGTGCTATCAAAACTTTGCAACACTCTTCGACTCTTATACGCTCGAGCTGTGTTGTAGAAGAGTTTAATTTTAGTACTCAATCTTAGCCTTCGCTAATATTCTAAGAGTGTTCAACAGCAGCAACATCAACAAGAGCAGCAATCACTGTGTGTGTGTGTGTGTTTAGTACTTTCATATTGTTGAAGATAATGTCAAATTTATTGCATTATTTTGCGCTGCTTGCTTTGCTGCTGTTATTCTTGATGGCATTGCCAACATGCGTGCCAACCCCACCCATCGCCGCCTACAACTCCTTTGTGCGCTATCCCTTTCACTCTGCTGCTACTGTTGTTGTTGCTGTGCATAAATCAAACGGTAAATGGCTGCATTTTTATGACTGCCTTTTGCGGCATTGCCAACGCCAGCATCGACGCCAGCGTCGTCAGCGTCCTCAGCGTCGTCGTCGTCGTCATCGTTCATCGTTCGCCTTTTGCGCTGTTTCGCTTTTATCACACAAACATTTCAGTGATAATAAATGCCATAAAAATGAAGAAATATGTGGTTAATTTTATGTTCTCTGCTCTGCTGCCGCTGCTGCTGCCTCCTTTTTATGCTCTGTTACCTTCGGTTTCAAGAGTATATTAATTTTACAACGACAATTTTTCCAACAAAGCGTAATAATAGGAAAATCGATAAAAACAAATCTATAAAAATCGACAAGAGTCACCAAATTGGAAAGGTATATAGTATCATCCTTCAAATTCTGAAAAAATGCTTGCTAAATGAGCTAAAGACACTAAATTGGGAAGTTAGATTCCTAGGAACCTTTCCAAATGCCCATATATCCTGCAATTTTAGAGCTTTGGTTGCCAATCTTGGAAGGCAGATTACTAAAACTCTCCTCTAATAATTTTTTCATCCACTCACAGTAAAATACCACAATTTTAGTGCCAAACTTGGTGGATAGATTACTAGTAATCTCCGTCAAAGATCGGTATCTCTTGGCTACATCCACCCCTTTCTGAATCACTTGTTATAGGATGGTATTACTCATTGGTAGCAGAGTATTCTACAGTCGTTTACGCCCGACTGCGACGTACTCACTTGTTATTATATTCTTCATTTACACACACACACACGCACACACACATAAATGTTTTCGTGGCCACAAATATTTTTTGCGCTTCTGCTGAGCATTTTACATCCCTGCGTGTAATTTATAATATTTTGTGTTATTTATATGCAGACCCCCCCCCTCCTCCAACCCACCTCCCTCCATCGCTCCTCCTTCCGCCCACAAATGCGTTCGCATTGCTAGTAAATAATTCACATGCGCTGGCAAAATTTATGACGCTGACAAAGTAGCCGTAAAAATATGAATTACTTACGTACTTCGTACATACCTTCTTACGTACTTACGTATAGACTTACGTGCCGTGCCACAATGCATATTTATTTTGGCATTTAACACAAATGAAAAAGAAAAGAAAAACCTGGCAATTTGCAGCAGTTGCCAGCATTTTGAATCAAGAAAAGCCGCAAATTATGCCAAAGCCAAAACCAAAGCAAAACACGCTTTTACCTAATAAATCCCTCATCAGCATTGTTTTGTGTGAAGGTCATTTCAGATCCTAACTTTTCTACCTGTAAATCCTTGCTCTTGGTTTTTGGTCAGGATTACGCATTGCTTAAATGCCCAGAATCAGCATTAAGCCAAAGAAAATCTGTTTCAATCTTTATCTGGCATATTTGCAACGATTTTAATTTTAAATACTTTTAAAACCAAAATCCATCCTGATTATTTACTAATTATTATTTAAGGTAGCGGGAGAGATGATTTTCTGAAGAAAAGAAAACAAATCAGGGAACCAATGCCATTAAAATTCAAATAAAAAAATTGCATTTTTTGAAAATAGAAAGAAAATTTAGGAAAAAATAAAAGCGGCATTTTGAAAATGTTCATTTATAATTATGAGAATTAGAAATAAAAACGATTTCTATAAAGTTGACACGTCGTCTTTTTCTCTGCACATTTCAAATACAACTACAAATTACAAATAAAAAAATTAATTGTATTTATAAATATATATTGAAAAGAATTACAGGAGTAGTGCCAACTGGGATACCCCAGAAGAAACCCAAGTTATTACTAAATATGCCATATGTCATTATGTAGTAAAATGCCATCTGAAGAATGGGAATTCAGTGTTGCTAAACCCATTAAAAAACACTCGCTTAGCTGTATTATTGAGAATACATCAAACAACCAACTAAACTATTAAAAAGTTTGAAAGTGCAGCATGTGGCATCAAAAGCAGCATCACAATGCTACTTACAACTTGTGGCTGAGATTAATTAAGCCACACACAGACACACACACAAGCATTTATAATACGATTACTAGCAACGCGAGGCGACAAAACATGTGGAAAATTGTTGGTTGCAAGTTTGACATGACGACAAAACAACGATTTCCACTTTCCAACACAATAAACGCGAAGAAGAAGCTCGCCTGTGTTGGAAAACAAACCGCAGAACAGAACAGAAACCAGAAGTTAATCGAATAACGCTAAACAATGCCACAGTCAAAGTTAGAGTGGGAGAGTGAGATAGTGAGAGTGAGAAAGAGAATGAGAAGGAGAAGAGGGGGCAAACAAATTAATTTTTATATGACATTAAAACGAGCCGAGCCGAGGCGATGGCATAAAAAAAAAAGAGTGCTTAAGTGTTGAGTGAGTGAGAAACAAATCTCGGCGAAGACAATGCGACCGAGCAGCCTGCTGTTGACAGCCGAGAGCAGTTCACAGAGAGTGAGAGCTAGAGCTGGAGCGGGAGTGGGAGCGGGAGAGCAAGATTGAGTGCGTGACATATGTGTGAAGATAAAATTAATGAGCGCGTCAAAGGCGAACTTCCGTGGACATCAGCAGCAGCAGCAGCAGAGAACGAAAAAAAAGAGCGCCGCTCTCATGCTCAACTGTTGCTCTCGCGCCGAGTGTTGCCGTGTTGCACGCTGCAAACTGAACGTGTGCGGGAGCGAGCGAGAAATGCCCATGCAGCTGATTGAAATGAAATGCAAAAAGAAAAAACAGAAAAAAAACCTGCTCGTCCACTTTACGGCTTCCATTGCATGGCGCATGCGATGTGATTGGGCAAAAAGTACGCCATATTTGAAAATTACGCAGAGTGCAGCTCGCTCGCACAGCACATGCGTCTCTCCTTCCGCACACACAACCAAACGGTTGTGCAGCGCTGCTTACCGGTTCTGAGCACAACATACAGAAAAGAGCGCAAAAGAAGAGAGCGAGAGCCGAATGCCGAGTGCTGAGCGCTGAGAGCGAGCGCCGACAGCTGAGCGAATTTTCGCTTCACTCTATCGCAAATCACTGGCTGTTGAAATTGTTGAATTCAGTTCGAGTTTAGCCTTCGATGCGTTCAGACGTGTTCGGAAAAAACTAGAAAAGAACGGAAAGCAAAGCAAAGCAAAAAAAAGCCAACTCTTCAAAATCAAAAATCTTTGAGAACGTTTTTATCTCTCTTAATCAACGTCGAGTTAAGTGTTAAGTGCTTCAATAAGTGAAAGATACGCCGCCAATTGGCCGACTTGTCAAATTAGTGCAGCACACAAGAAATCTTAACTAAAGTGTGAAAAATAATACAAATTCAAAAAAATAAAATAAAAATACATCAAATTCTCTGGGATTAAAAAATTTGCCGTCGCATTCTCTATTTGGATTACACTGAAACCAACAAAATAAAAAAAGCAAAACAGCAGTTGCAATTTATATTTTTATTGTAAAACTGCTCGGAATTTGTCAACCGTCGCATTTTCTGTGGATTACCCAATAAACAATAAACAAAAGCCAAAGCAGCCCAAAATGGTTGTCTTGGAAGGCGGCGGTGGTGTTGTCACCATCGGCAATAACCAATACTTGCAACCGGATTACTTGGCCCCATTGCCAACAACGGTTAGTATTCAAACCAAAAAAAAAAGGAAAAATAATAAAATAATAAAATTAAAAATTAAAAAGTTGAGGTGCTCAAAAAATTAAGGAGTTCAGAAATTAAAAAATCAAAAATGTTGAGGTATTAAAAAAAAGGGTTCAGTTATTAAAAAGCTTAAGCTTTTAAAACAAACATAGTTCAGCAAAAAAATAAACAAATAAAAGAGTTCATATATAAAAAAATAACACAAAAAGAGCTACTTGAGTAAATAAACAAAAACCATAAAAATGCTGAAGACAACTAAACAAATAAATATATCAGGCATAAAAAAATAGTTTTTTGCTGCTTAACAAAATGAATGAATTTTGCAATTAACGTTCAACAAATAAGATGCTTACTTAAGCATTATAATCGAAAAAAATGAGCTGACTTTGCTTAAATAAAGCAGCACAGAAATTCCATTGAACAACGAAAATTGCAACCCACTTTTTTATTTAACAAAAAACTGCAACTTAATTAAAAAAAATACATTTTTTTTATAACATTTACAAAATGTAACTGCTGATTTTTAGCACATTGATGTAAAACATGAAATTTTGAGCTTCTTTTTATTTTTTTCAAACTCAGCGATTTGTGAAAATTTGGACACGGTTTTCAATTTGCACAAGTTTTTTGTACTTAAAGTCAAATAAGATTTGAACAATTTTTGATTTGAATTTGAGAGATATTTAAAAATATTTAGAAATAATTTTAAAAATTATAAAAATTTCTAAATCAGTGTATATAAAAAACTAAAGCCATGCCCATTTTTGTATATATTTATTAAAAATATTAAACATAGAAAAATATAAAAAAGTAAAAACATTTTTGAATCCTTCTCAACTCGCTTCTATATTGAAAAATTGTATTTATGAATAATTAAAAAAATGGGAAAAATAAAATACTAAATCCAAAATTGCACTTATTTATTTGTAGATGGATGCCAAGAAGAGTCCGTTGGCACTGCTGGCCCAGACTTGCTCACAGATTGGAGCCGATTCGTCGGCAGTGAAGCCGCTGCTGGCCGTGGACAAGAGCAAGAAATCGGGCACATGCTCCTCATCGTCGACGTCGTCGAGCTGCTCGACGAGCAGCAACGATATCGGCCAGGCCAAGTCACCCAGCCAAGCCAAATCGCCCAAGTCGACAACACCGATTACAACAACAAGCACAGCAACAACATCGATACCAATTAGCAGCAGTGGTGCTGGTGGCAATGAGATCAAATTGGCCTTCAAGCCGTACGAGACGAACGTGTTGAGTCAACAGAATCAGAACAGTTTCAAGAGCAGCTGCCTGGGCGACGACACCCAAATCCCGACGAGGCCCAGCTCCAAGAGTTCCACACAGGAGCGTGTTCCCTCGCGCAATCGTTCGAATGCCACGCCCACCAACACCAGCACCAGCAGCAGCCACGATGCCATCCAGTCGAGAACGGAACTGGATAACAGTCGCAAGACGGTGTCGCCATCGGGTTCGTCGCAGCGCGGCGCCAGTCCCATTGTCCGCTCCGGGATGGAGGTGTTGAACAACGCCAACGGCACCGCCCAGCATCCCAAGGAGATGAGCAGCATGGCGGCGGCAGCAGCAGCGGCTGCAGCTGCCTACAAGGCAGCCGGTCCCTATGGCCTCAATCCCCTCTCCGCTCTCTGCTGTCCGCCGGGCATGGAACAGCATGCCGCGAATCCTGCATTCCGTCCGCCATTCGGCGGCGGTTTCTCGCATCATCATGCGGCCATGTTGGCGGCAGCGGCTGCCAACGGTGGCTATCCGGGTGCTGGTGCCGGACCAGCGGGCCAACCCAATCCGTATATCAGCTATCAGCGCATAAAGACGCCGGCTGGCGGCGAGGCGATTGTGCCCGTGTGCAAGGATCCGTATTGTCCGGGCTGCCCCTATTCGCAGCACACGCAACAGATGCTGATGGGCGCCCCCTGCCCCGCCGGCTGTGCCCAGTGCGAGCATCAGAAATATGGCATGGCCATGGCCAGTGCCGGTCTGCCACCCACGCATCCCTATTCCCAGGCAGCTGCGGCTGCTGCGGCAAATGCGGCAGCTGCCCGCTCGGCGCCCTACGTCTGCAGCTGGGTGGTGGGCGATGCGTATTGTGGCAAGCGTTTCCAGACCTCCGACGAGCTCTTCTCCCATCTGCGCACCCACACCGGCAATCTCTCCGATCCGGCTGCTGCTGCCGCCGCACTTGCTCAATCCCAGGCACAATCGCTGCTCGGCTCCCTCTTCCCGCCTTCGGCGCTCCGCGCTGGCTACCCAACACCACCGCTGAGTCCGATGTCTGCCGCGGCGGCGGCTGCCCGTTATCATCCGTATGGCAAGCCGCCGGGCGCCCTTTCGGCTGCACCCTCCCCCTTTGGGGCTGGAGGTGCCTTCAATCCGGCGGCGGCGGCTGCGGCAGCTGCTCTGGGTCCCTATTACTCACCCTATGCGATGTACGGTCAACGCATGGGCGCAGCTCATCAGTAAGCAGCGAAGAGATGGAGCGATGGAGAGTGGATACCAAATAACACTAAAAGTTAGTGTTGCACAACACGCTCGCGAAAAGGAGGAGGAGGAGGAGGAGGAGGAAGAAGAACAACTCTGTGTGTCTCTTGGAAATATAAGCATGCTAGAATTGATGATGATTACGGTAACGCTCTCAGCGGCGTTCGCTGTTCTGTGATACTAAACTGTAGATTTGTCGAGCGCTAAAATTACATTTAAGTTTCCAATAACAACAAACAGTAACAAAAACAAAAAACTAAAAAACAAATAAGCCCAACAGTAAAATGAATATCCATCAAATTACTATCACAAGTCAGCAAAAGCAAATAAAATTGCTCAGTTTTATTTTTTTTTATTTTTTAACAGTTTTGTTTTCATTACAAAAAACCCATTTCAATTTTTATTTCATTTTTTGAGCATTATTTTGTAAGTTTGCTTTTGTTCTCAAAGTTCAACCAAAGTTTTTGTAAGTCTTAGCGATGCAAATTTTAATGACTTCCAGTTCTCTTGCGATCTATATATATATATATATATATATGGAAATCGCATGAAAATCGTATGTTTATCAGGTTTTGTTTATATATACATACATACATACATACATACATCAATACAAGCATATTACTGAATGTTTAAGCATTGTTTTTATTCTAATTTGTCTAGATTTAAATTAGTTCTTAACTATTACATCATACATACAAAAAAAAAACAAAAAAACAAAAAACAAAACAAAAAACTACAAAATAATAGTATGCATACAAATTTCAATAATGTTTTAAGTCATTTATATGTAAACTACAGCGTATAATAAAAAAAACTGTAATAACAAACATAAACAAAGCAAAACAAAAAGATTAAAAAAAAAAAATTGATACAAAAAAAAAATACAAAATACAAAAAGATTTCATATAATTATTTACTGTGTATAAATTCAATGAACATAAATTAGAAGATTTGCGATTACCACTTGATGAATGCCACACGAGCAACCACAAAGCAAAAAACAAAAAAAAAACACAAAAGAAACTGAAAACCGAAAACTCAAAACTGAAAACAGCAAAAATAAATCCGAAATCCGCAAACGATGGCAACAACAATATATCAAAAAGTGCGCAGTAAATAAATAATTACACGCAAAAACACAAATTCATATGGACAAAATATACAGTGAAAACAATTTTTCAAAATACAAAATACATTTGTCTTCTTCTTCTTCGTTATTTGACTACCCTGTTCCCATCAAGGGTTGTCAAACCCATTTCTCAAGCATAGAGCGAAAGTGCTTGCAGATCGTGGTTATTGTTATCGATATCATCCAAGTCGATAATTTTTTTCTTGGTTGCGTTTCTACTCGAGCTTTCTTTTAGGCTGGATTGAAGGCTCATTTTTTAAAAGAATACCGTCATTAAATTATTAAACAGTGACTTGATTGCATTTTTTACTATAAGTTAGTCGAGAAAGCTGCACAAGTGGCAAACCTGCTCATTGTTGTTATATACCTAGTAGGATTACTGATGGTAGTTTGTTTAATATGATTATTTTTACAGATCATCGATATAGCAGCGTAAATCTATCAATTAATTGTTATCGGAAATACATATTTATCGATATGCGCGAAACGTGTGTAGATATCGATCAAATGATTCAAACTTAGCATACGATGAATCTATTTAAAGTTTATGGTAAGTAGCTCTTGTAGTCTCTGAGATCGGCTTTTTAATACAGACAGAGAGAGAGAGAGAAAGAGAGAGAGAGAGACTTGGCTAAATTGATTCGGTTCTTGATGCTGATCAAGAATATACATACATAAACTTTTTGGAGTCATAAAAAAAAATTCAGCACTTTTATTAATCTTTGTTACTATTAATCTTTGCATCATTGGCTCTTCTGATAGTTAAGTCAAATATTTATTTTCGATTTTCTGATACTAGCTCTGGCAATCTTATCGTGTTCAACTTTGCATTTAATAAAGCCGTTGCTAGGAGAACTATTGCATACTGTAAGTAATTTATTAGAAAACTTAAAACAATATTTGGTAAGTACAAATATAGTAATTACATAAATAAAATAATAATGTATTATATATCAATAAGTATTAATTATAATATATTTACTCAAAAATAACATTTCAATTTACTATTATTATATTGTGTTATTTTTATATAAGCTGTTCGAAATTGGATTGGAAATCACCAAAAGTGATAAAAGTGTACAAGTGTAAACTGATAACTGAACTATTTTTGATTATTTATTAATATTAATTATAATTAATAAGACACTTACAGACACAAAAGATTCGAACTTCAGCTCTGTTAATAAGAATAGTGATTTTTATTTTTTAATGTATATTAAAATCTTTAATAAATGTATATATTCCGCCAAATTGATGAGATGCTATTTACTCTTACGTCTATTTATTAATATATTATTTCTATATTGTGCTACCAGTTCGAACTTTGATTTAATTCCGCATACGTAATTTACTTGCTGTTTAAATACGTTTTGTCTCTGATTTAATCTATACACTAATCATTTGTAGGCAGTTATATTTGTTTAGTTTTAGCATTTAATCTTTACTTCATTTATTAGCCATAACTTTAATTGCATTAGTTAGTTAATTGTCTGCCAGCAAGCAACATTGATAATGCTGATAATCTATTCTATTCTATGCGTCATTTGAATTTGAATTTTATTTACATAAGCTAATGTGCTTAACAACTGAAACCCTGAATATATTTATATATATATATTTTTAAATTTAAATCTAATCAGTTGAAAATTTTGATTCATATATGAATGAAAAGAAAATGCACAAAAATCTTATTTATATTTCCTTTAATGACGACAAATATCAATCGAAACGGAAAAATATCAAGAGTAAATATGGGATAAAAATAAAAATAAAATGTAATATATAACTTAAAATTTTCTGTGACTATTTAATTTATTTAATATAATTGAATTTGGCTTGTATTTTATATAATAATAGAAAAATAAAAATATAATTTTTAAGTTTTTCTATAGTTCTTTTCTGTTTCTATCCATATAAACTGTGCTCTGTTGCCTCTGGTTCTCGTATGTCTGCCAAAAATGATAGGCTTTCATTTTAAAGTCAAATCGCAATCAAACAAAAATAAAGGCAGAAAAAAGTCAAATCAGTATTTGTGTATTTTCATTTGATATTTCGTATGCGAAATGCATAATTTGTGTTTTCGGCTTTTTGATTTTAGTCCATCAAATTTGAATTTCATGAGTTGCTATGCAGTGCTGATTGAGGAGGTGGGTCGTGGGGGGGGAGTGGTGATGTGGGGTGGGTGTGGTGGCATTTGAGCAAGCCTTAATAAACTCCGAGTCAGACGAGTGCGGCGACAGCTATAAAACACCCAGGCTGAAATTAAAAATCAATAAAGGCATACATTAAATCAATTGACATTCAATGAGCAGCGCTCAGCAAACAAACAACAATAATAATAATAATAAAAAAAAAAAACTAAATAAAAAAGTAAATAAAAATCCCATTTAATTGCAAAGCGCTGACAATTGTCATATAACCCGACAATGTGACAGTAGCAATCAGCGTCGATCGGCCAATCGAGCGTACATATCTTATAAGCAAATTAATTGTGACATTATTCAATTGATATGATTTGAAATTATCGCCATCGCCTGTCAAACGTCCAGCAATTATTGATTTTTCAATTGCCTCAACTTGAATTCTGATTGCGAGTTATTTCTTCTCTTCATGTTTGACTTGATGTTGATAAGATGCTAACACACAGCAACCCCCCCTCCCTTCCCCCGACCAGACCCACAATGTGGGAATCGGAGGGGCAGCACATCATATGCCCAAGTGTCGTGAATACACCGAGAGAAAAGAAGCCTTGTAGAGGGTATTATAATTCCTTTGTGAGGTTTGTAACACGACTCGTCATTCTTTATTCTTGTTTCAAGCACAAAACAAGTGAAAATTAAAGAAAGTGTCAAAACTCTCAAGGCAAGTGGATTGAGTACACTTATAATTGATTGAAAAACATCAAATCAAGTTTTGCCTGCCTTTTTACTTTGCTCATTTTTATTTGGAATTCTGAAAAATACATTCCTGAATTGAGATACCTAATTAAAAAATGTTTATCTGTTTATCTTTCTCATTTTGCATAAATTATTTATATTTTGCATATTTATAGACCTATTAAAAATGCTATAAAACATTGACCTGTATCAAGGCATAGATAAATTAAACTTGGTCATAGCCATACTAAAATCAACATGTCAAAAGAAAACTCAAGAATATACAAATTGTTTTGGGGTGCGTTAGATAGTTGTTCTTTCTTCAAGCTATAAAAAAGTCAAAGTTCTCAAATCATGTGGATATTCTTGAGTCTATTTCTTCAGAAGTCAAGAACCTTGAATCAACTTATGCCTCTATGTAAGAAAGCAAGAAACTTTAATCAATTTCATTTTAAAAACAAATTTCTGATTTGAGATTCCTAATCGAAGATTTTTTATTCGTTATTCTTATAGATAACATATTTCTAGTAATTTTCTTAAATAAATATTTATTTAAAGTGGACTAAAAACAGTTCACAGTTTTTAAAAAAAGGTTTTAACAATTAAATTATATAAAATAGGAAAGGAATATTTATTTTTAAAATGAAAGAAAACAAATAAAATTACAGTTACAATAAATTGATCATATAAAAAGAAAGAAAAATACGCTCTATAAAAAATTAGAAACATTTTTAGTATTGAAGAGCATTCAATGTTCGTCTGTAAAAGTTAATTTTCTTATTTCAGTGTTTCTTGTTCTGATTAATATTAATATTTTTTTGATTGTACAATTTCTGCTGAAAGGTCTGTGATCGTTGTTTATTGTTGTAGTTGTCATTGTTGTTGCTGTAGTTGTGTGGCGCTTGATTGCGCTGTTTTCTATTTTGTTTTGTATTTTTGTTGATTTTCTGTTGTTCCAAATTGAATTTATTTACATGCATCATATTTCTTTTGTGTTGCTGTGTTGTCCATGTTAAACAATTTGTTTTGTTGTCAACACTCGCGAGCAACAACAACAACAACAGCGACAAACGAACATGGCAACTTTTTGTTATAAATAGACATGCTTTGCTTTGGTAACAAAGCTGTGTGGGCAGTGTAATAGTGAGGGGGGTGTGTGGAGAGTGGGGAGCAAGTCTTTCTCGCTCCAACTTCTTCGGCTTCTCTTGCATTGCTCTTTTGGTTTGTCTTTCTTGTTCGTGATCATTTCTGTGTGCAACTTAAAAGCTTTGCCAGCGCTTCGATGACTAACTGGCTCGTTGGTCTAGGGGCATGATTTCCGCTTAGGGTGCGGGAGGTCCCGGGTTCAAATCCCGGACGAGCCCAGGTTGAATTGAACTTTTTATATTTTTTTATGATATTTCGTAATAATTATTTTTGTAGTAGTTAGTTAGTTGTTGCTGTTTTGGCTTCCAGTTGCCTATACTTTGATTTGCGCATTTATATAGTTTCTACCGCAATAAATTAATAGTCATTATTATTTCTTGGATTTATAGAAAAGTACTTTTTCAGTCATACGTTGAAATTTATGAACGATTTCTAAGTAGTCTTGTGACTCAACCCTATATATATCTTTCTGAATAGGTAATCCCCATAGCCTAGTTGCTGCTTTATGGCCAAGAATTTAATAATAATCAGTGGTTGTGATTCGAAAAGATTTTCCTAAGCATTAGGCATATTATTTATGGCAACACTAGCAAGCCATATATACGAGTATGTATATTTATATTTATATATAAAATATATATATATATCTTGGCTGAAAGTTATGGCCAAATGGCCATAAAAACAATTTTATTGGCTCGCTCGCATATAGATGTTACGATTAAACAGCACGAAGAGCTGACCATAATTTATAAACACTGCCTAGAAAAAATAAGTAACGACTGCCAGATGCCCTGTAGAGGACTTTAAGTGTTTGCAAGTCAATTGTTAAGATTTGCTTATATAACATATTATTAGTATATAATTTATATAT